CCCTCAGCCAATCTGCAATCCATCTGACTGTGTAGGCATCTATGCCACAGTCGCCTAGTTTTTTAACTAGGATGGGGTGAGAGACGGTGTCAAAGGCCTTGCTGAAGTCCAGAAAGACTACATCCACCGCGATACCTGCATCCATGGCCTTTGTGACCTGATCGTAAAAGGCAATCAAGGTCGCTTCAAGTCAGTCCTGAACAAGAGAAATACAATTATTCTACCAGCTGGCCACTTGATTGATGGTAGAATATTGAGACAGCAATTATAAATTAAGGTAATGAGACTATGAAGACAGTGGAAAGCATGTAAAGGACTAGAAAATCAAAATGGCTAGAGTAATGATTTTAGCTTTGCTCACCATTAGGGACTCCATACATGGCCTTCTAAATGTCACTTGGGCTGTACCTCCCTCACTTCATATAATCCCACTTCCATCCCACCTGCCTCCTCCCTCTCAGTCCCAGACAGTCCCAGCTCTAATCAAATGAAGTCCCCATCTGCTGCCTTAACTGAGGCAGAGATGCTCATGGTTATTTTAGCTACGGCAAAGGAGGGAAGGTAGAAAGTAACTCTGTGGTGAGTGGTCCCAGTAGCTAATAACCCCAGGGGCCATTTGTGTAGCTTTAAAAGGAAGATCTTCAAAAGAGACTGGAATTGGTTAAGTGCATGGTATCTTCTGGTATCACTCTAGGTGATGTACTGGAATTGTACACTGCACTCTGTTCAAACTGCATAATAACTGGTGAACCAGACAAGCAGCTGCCAATTTCAAATTTGTGGACATAAAACCAGCAGTTCCATATAGTACTGACAGCAGTTTAAGTAGCTGCCGACAACTTGCAAGCAGCTGTTTAATTAATTGACTAATTTCCTTGCCATTTCCAGTGTGGGCAGACTCAATTTCTCAATGTAACCAAGAGTAAAAAGCTCAACATTGCCTATGAACGCTTACAGTAAACTGAGGTAAGTACACAGTCATTTTTAAAGACCCACTGTACTATAATATAAAAAGTCAATATTAGACATGGATACCACAAGCATATGCAAAAGCATACACACTACATGAATGGTGCACTAATTGCAGGAGGCTGAGATTTTCTAGAATTGCCCCACCCTTTGCCCCTTTGTATCACATGATCGTGGAACTGTTAAGCAATAACATAAAACGTTTCTCTTAGCTAAGATCTGTGGCTGCTTACAGACGTTAAAAAAACAACGACAGAAAACAGTGCTTTGATTCAAACTCCACGCACTCCTGCACCGAGCTCAACGCATTCCCAGAAGAGGCAGCACATTAGATGGACCCAGCTCACCCAACATCTGTATAGATTGGGTTCCTTAGTGGGGCTTTTTTGGCACTTTTATCTGATGGCTGATTGAATCAGCTTGAGCTAAAAACACCGAAAAGCCTTGCTGAAGCACCCAACCTATACAAATACTGCAGAACCGTGTCAAACTAATGTGCTGCTTCTTCTGGTAAAGTGTGTTTTCGAGGTTTTTTTAAATGTCTGACAGCCTGTGGTCTTCATGAATGAAAGTAAATCATCTGTTTCCCTTGTTATACTGAATTTGTAAAGTGGAAGGTAATATTACCCAGTATGGAACACAGAACAAAATATCCTATGGTAAAAGAGAGTAAAAGCTTAAACCAGAGATTAAGTTATGAGAAATACAACTTGACACTATTCTATTTCCCTGAAACTAAAGCCCAATCTCATTTGCTACCTGAAGACCTGTCATTTTCTTTTCTCAGTTCTTTAGGAAAAAGAAACAAAAGTCTGTGATACAAACTTGCTATTTTAACAAAACTTGCATCTCTGCCTATTTAGATATCCAAGCAATTTACTGAAGCTTTGCACCAACCCATGCAAATTTCTTCGAATAAATTTGCCTCTTTTCTCAGAAGTGGCACAGGAAATTTCATATTTAAGAGATTACAATGTAAAGAAAAGAGAGTTATATTTGTTAAAGATTCCTATCTGAACTTTACCCGATTCTGGCAAGGTAAAATAAGTCTTGAAAGCACCATGCAGAAAAGTAACTGCCTGATTAAATATCAAATAATGGATTATCCTTGTTTGTTTTCAAATCAGGCAAGAAAATATGGTCTGCTAAAGTCTTCTCCATCCAAATCCATGAGGCTTTCCATCAAATTAAAGGACATTTCTGTTGCTAGAAATAAGGAATAGATCCAAACACAGACTACAGAACAATTTAGGAGCCCAAGCCCAAACTTAGTTGCCATTTAGCCCTTAAGAAATCTCACTTATCTTAAAATGCTCCCTAAGCATTCAAAGATCAGCCTGCAAGCCCTCCACCTCTCTGGAGGGTCCCCAGACTTCCAGGCTACAGGATGTTGTGAGGCAAGTGCATGCTTCTCTGCTCCTGGGACATTAGGTGACAAATAATTCTAGGCTGACTGACTGAGAGGGTGCTAGCAGGTGAGCGAGCATGAGCACACATGAGCAAACATGACTCTGTAGCTCAATGGTTGTGACATTCATAGGGGGAGGAGAGAAAAAGAAGACCTGGATTGTTGTCTCTGCACCAGGAAATGTTATATAAACAAAAAGGATGTCAATGCTTACCTTTGAAGAGAAGGCTCCAGTTATGACTCTGAAATGGAGGAAGGCACTTCCCTACTGCCCTGAGTAAGATACCTAAGCTCCAGAGATACGCAGGATTTAGAGAGGTGGCCCTATCCTCAGTATTTTCTGTGGCCATCTTTATGCCTGTTTAGGCTCTAGGTTGTTCTGAGACACCTAACTCCTGCAGGTGTTGTACTGGGGATCTAGGCCCCTAACAGAATTCAAAATCTTCTTCCAAGGGTTCAGGAAGCCATCCTTAGAGTTGCAGTGCCCAAGTGCCCTTTCCAATCTAACCCTAAGAACAGCAGCACCATATACCTCCGACTGCTCCAACAGAGATCTCCCATCCAAGTACTGCAAACATTCAGCACTAGTTAACTTCTAAAGCCAGATAAAACAGGAACTTTTTCATAATGCATACTTTTATAAAACTGCAGGATCAAAAACCCACTCCTTACCCCCTTCACGAGCAATAAGCCTGTTCCTGCGTTATCACCGCCACAAGTAAAAAAATCAGGCTGTGGAGACATTACTTACAGCTGGCTGAGCATGTCTGCTGCTGAAGTCAAAATAGACTAGACAGAATAAGTCCACAGGGTGTTGACTGCAACCAAGTTTCACTTATTTGATTAAGGTGCAGCATGCTTGAGAAAGCCCCATTGCTCCACCCAGGTTTTACTCGTACTCTGAGTACTTCCAGATTAAGCGGGATTTTCTTGTACCAGCCTTGATCATGCGTTTCTCAATAAGACATTTATAACTGAAGAAAAACTAGCATTATTTTAGAGTTCACATTAGAGTTTGGTGGAAAAAAAACAAAACAATCTTTATATTTGAATAAGAACTGCTGTTTTTCCCCTACCTCATGATAGTAGTCCATAATTCCTTGTAGAACCTTCTTCAGATTACTGGCCTGGCGTATAAAGGATAATAAAGGTTATACTATTAACTGCTAACTTTTCCCAGACTTCATGAAAGAACAGTATAGAAATATCTTACTCTTCACTTAAAGTCTACACAGCAGTTGTATCTTAAAGCTATGCATAGTTAAAGTAAGGGAGGAAATACACAGGTCGCAGTAAATCTTGGTAACATACAGTTCAAATATATTTAAATTTGTTTCAGTGTGGTGGATTTTTTTTCAACCTGCCCAATGCTATGCTGGTGTGCCTATAATATCAGCTATACTGAGGAATTACATCCCAAATGACAGCAAATTAGCTTTTGCCAATTTTCATTTCTGATACCTTAATTCTCCAGTTATCACCAACATCTTCTTTAATACGGCTTAGCCATGATTGGTCAAACCAGGCAACATCTCTAAAATGAAAACAAAACACATGCCAGTTTAATATTTAGTAAATGCAGAAGTTGAATAAAACATCAAACATCCAATATTTTTTCCACTAGAAAGTCTACTATTGTATCCCAACGTTATGTATGTTCCTGGACACTGCATTTTCATTTGTGTATAGGGAATTTCTTATCCTACTGAATAAATTCGATTGAATAAAACACTAAATCCAAGTAGTAAACACATTCTACTCTTTAGGAAAAAGGAATTTTGAGCTTCAAGAACATACCTAGTGCACTGAAGACAGATATCTGAATACTTCCCTGTGCTTAGTTTTTATATGCAAGTGCTTTTTAACACCAGAGTAACACAGGCATTCCCCGGAGACAACTAGCTGCGGCACAAAGTATGCTGCCACTACTTGTCCCTGGCGAACCAAACATCCACACACGTGTGGACGCGTCCTGTGTGTTTAAACAGAAGATGCCCCCTACTAAATCTTTCTTTTAGTATCTGAGCCAGAAGAAAGGCCCCAAAAACTGAGCTGCAGCATTATCGCATTGAAATGCTAGGTTATAACAGGACTATTTAAATTGACTGCAAGATTAAAGAGAAAACATACCATACATGACTCCTGACTGCCTCTTATTTCACTGCTATAACCTTAGCAGAAGCTCAAGTTATTTTGAATATTCCCCCTCCCCCCACACCTTTTTTTAAATTAGAAAATAAACCGGCACTTCCTGATGTCAACTTTTAACACCTGACCTGTAAAAGCTCCCAACTGCTGGAAGCAAAATGGTCAAGAAGCTGGGTAATTCTAATGGGAATACTACATAGAGACATGAATTTCCACTCTAAAGAAAATGGTACAAAGCCAGAAGTCCTGATTGCTACAGAAACGTAGTCATATTAAAACTGCCCAATCTTGCCCTTTATTTGACAAGATGAACGCTGGTATTGTAAATGTAGTGCTGCTTTATGCTTCTTCATGATCTAACAAAAGTAAGCCATGAAGAAACAGAAGTGATTTTAACGTTTGTATTTTTTCAGCATAAACAAGAACAAAACATACCTGCAAGCTAGAAAGTATATACCTGCATGACTATGACTTTGTAATTCAATTTACCTTTGCTAGCCAGTTTTGAAAAAATATAACCAAACTGTATTTAGTTTTGTGTGTTACAATATCCTGAAAAGGGGAGGAGAGCAAGCGAAGGCGAATTATTCTGAAGTTCCATTCTAGCCATTTCATCAGATTTATTGACACCAGGTTAACAACACCCACAAAGTAAGAAGGGGTCCCTTTCTTAAGTTTTGAAATATCTACAATTGGAGGGAGGTTTGGGGTGGGGAAGGGGTTTGTTGTTGTTTTAAGGAAGACCTACTTCACTTCAAATATCTTGGTCTTGAGAAGAAGACAGTGAAACCTAAATAAGCACTTTGCATAATCTGAACTAAACCACTCAACTGAACTAAACCATCAACTTACATTTGATGAAGCACTTGTGCCATGGCAACACCATTAGTCAAGTCTTGGACATCTTTGCAGGGTGCAGCAGTATTAAATGTCTGCAACTAAAAAAAAGACAATCATTACAATGTCTCATTAGATAGGGCAGGGAATTTGCTGCAATGCTACTTTTTAGTACGAACCTTTAGTAAAATGTCTTTTTACTTTAAGCAGCCCAGAATATCAAAATCCATTCCATAAAACTAGATTAGCTTGTAGGCCAACCCAGTGCACTTAATACCTTTGACTTAAGAGGGCGAGTCCACAACAGCAGGCACGTAAGCTCAAATAGCAGCAGCACAAATTTGAGCCAGAGATTTGTGCCTCAGCACGTGTGTCTGAATATGCACTTTGGTGTGGGGCAAATTGTGCCACTTGGGGCAAACTGCCCAGCTCCTCCCGAATCTTCAGTTACAAGGAGCTAGAACCTGGGGCCAGCACCTGTGCTAGCCCCAGCAGTATAAAAAGCTGCCATGGCAAGCAGCTTAAGGCTACAGGCCCTCAGGAACTTCTGAGGACCAGCCAGTTGGTATCTGGGGACATTAGCCCCTTGTGCCAGCTGGACTGCTGAAGCAGTGCTAACCTAGAGTGGCCCCTGCACCCTCTACCCACTGCCACAGTCTGGCATTGGGGGCTGCTGCCTGGTTGTAACCTGCTGACACCTGCCATAGCATCCTCCCCCGTGGACCTGCGGCCCCAAGGCTGCATGCTTGCCAGACCCAGACAGACCACACGGCTGCCTGGGTTGTGGTTGGGGCACTGCAGCAGAGCAACCTGCATCTCTGGGCCAGCTGCCCATGGGCCATTGGATGGCACTGCTGTCATGTCATGACTGGTGTCCCTGCTCTGCCATCTGGGCAGGTATCGCGCAGAAAATGTGCTCCTTGCAATTGTCCATTTTGAACTGTCAAACCATGTCCTCCTAACCCCACATGGCCAGAAGGTCAGCCATTTTATCTGTCCTCCAGCTGGGTCCCCAGTTCTGACCCTGGATCCCACCACTTGCCACACCAGTAGAGATCCTGGGGTTCCCTGTTTTAAAATTGCCAATTCTCTGATTAAACCTCCCCCCATCCCAAATTCTTGCATTAAAATACCCAAAATCTGCATTCTTCCACGATTAAAATGAAATGCCACTATATAGAGAAAGATCAGTTGGGCGAAGTTTTACTGATATATTTACAATTTTAAAGCAATTTGGAAGCTTACCAGTGCCTCTATCATCATAATAAAATGAATTCTAAATATCTATAAACTTTGGCGTTTGCTTTTGGTTTTATCACAGAAAAATCAGAGCTGCCCCTGCCCACTTCACTCACCAGTATGTGGGTCACTGACCAGCATTGATATGCCACTGCCTTGCCCCTGCCCTTGCCCCTCACTCCCAACCCACAAACCCTGCCAATGCCCCTCAGTCCTAACCCACAGTCCCTGCCTGCCCCCACTCACTCCATCCCGGCAGCAGCTCTGTCCCAGCACCAAGACATGAGTCCAGCTGCAGCTGTCCCACCTGCTGCCTTGTGGCTCTGAGTAGTGCCAGCCCTTGCTGTTCTGCTCCCTGCACCTGTGCCCAGGCCCCAGCAATCCCCATGCTCAACTGGGCCTCAGGGGCTGGGCTGGGCAGGCCCCTTGCATTCCAGGCCAACCTGCCCCTGTACAGGCTGCTCTAGGGGACCAGGGGGGCTCTAAGCCCAGGATCACTGGACTGCTTCAATAGTTCCCCATAGCTATTGAATAGAATTTGTTTGTGCTAATATTTGGCTGCACACAAGAAATGCCACATTGGGGCAGACCACTGATTCATCTACCACAGTAGCCCATCTTTGACAGTGGCCAGAATAGATGCTTTAGAGTTAGGGTGGCAAAGATATGGTATGTACAGCCCTATCATCCAGATCCCGATGCTACCCAGGAGTCTCAAACAGACCCACAGGCAGCATGTGTGGGGTTTCCTGGATGGCCCTGTGCATTACATGTGGTGCCTGCTCCAGTGTGTCCCAGAGTGGACAGAGCAGGTACTTCATCCAGTGCTGTATAGGGGGTGGTCCCAGACTGGCTGCTCCAGGGAACATGGGACATGTACTGGGTCCAGTGTGCAGAAGCAAGCACCATGTGTGGCATGGTCTCAGAGTGGCCAGAGCAGCAGGTCTGGGACCATGCTGCACTCAGTGCCCACCCCAGCAGTTCCAGGTCCTATGCAAGCAGCACCTCCTCTGGTCACTCTGGGACCCCTGTTAGATCTGGCGTGCAGGGCCAGGCTGCAGGCCTGATTTGTCCCATGGACTGGCCCCACACCACTGATCCAGCCCATGAGGCCAGATGAGTTTGACAGCACTATTTTAGAGGGAGAACACTGAACTAGGTATATCTAGAGTGATCTAGCCCCTTTCCATTACCGTCCCTGCCATCTACAGTAATTGGTTTACAGATGCCAAAGAATACATATCTGACTGTCCTGTTAATAGATCTATCATCTATGAATTTGTCCAGTCCTCTTTTTGGATCTGACTATACTATCTGCCTCTACAACCTCCTATGGCAAGGAGTTCCACAAGTTAACTAGGCAATGCATATAAAATTACATGTTTCTGTGCTCTTTATGACCTCACAATTTGTATTTGCTAAGTCTGACTTTCTGTACTGTTTTGCTTCCAAACACGTTGCTGTACCTTCAACTGAACTTAAGACCACCCTACAGGATGTCCTAGTTCCACTGGACATTTTTAAATTGGACACTGCTGGTGCTGTGGTAGAAATATAAAACTTTTGTTATATAGGTCTGAGGAATCTCCATAGTACAGACTGATCCTGGACCAATGAATCCAACAGAGGTCTGCCACTGACTTTAAAGGAAGAGGGATTGACTCTTCATGACTGTAGCAGAATTATTTGCTGGAAATGAACATGAAGTCTGATAAATTGATACTAAAGAGCAAAATGTGTTGAGAAATTGCATTCCCCACTCCCACAACACAAAGGCTCACTGCAAGGGACAACGAGATGGATCTGCCAGGCCACCAACAGTACAGTAGCTCACAGACATACACAATTGCTGTGACTTACAGCATCTATGGACTGCTCTCACTATAACTGAGCTACCCCTCAGAGTAGCCCAGCATCAGGTTTAAATTTTGCCACCCATCTGTCTGAGTGGAACAAAAATTTTGCCTTAGAAACAGAGCTATCAGGCTTGCATTACACATGTTTGAAGGATGAATGCCACACCTCCTGGCATAACTCCTAGTGTTTCTTTTTCTGGGCTGTCACATGTTCCACCACCAAATGTCTGCAGTTTAAAACAGGATCATGCTCATAACTAGTTATCAGACAGACTTAGATTTCTATACTTGAAAAATAAAAAAACCACCTTTACATTTATCCCTATGATCCACACTTCAAGTTCTCCAGCTAACACAGCCAGATCAGCTCTGAAGACAGGTCTTACAGGTTTTAGCCATGCAAGTAGGTTGTGAACTGAAAGAGCTACAGGTTGGGTTGTTTTATTAGAAGTGAAAGGAAAAAAAAGGAGATGGGAGCTTTTAAAGAAAAACACCTCAAATAAACATGATTTGATCCAGGGGAAGTTACCTTTGTGACTATTAACACTGTTAAAGAGCTGAAACTAAAACTACACATAAATCACAAGCTACCATACTGGCACCAAACACTGCATGGCTTCAGGCAAGCCAGCTCCCAAACTGGACGAAGCATAGCATTGCAAGTAGGCTAATCAGCAGTAATGACTAGCCTGTTCTGTGTGATGACAACTATGACTCCAGTCTAGGAGGCAGCGCTGAAAGATCACCACAGTGTGTTTCAAAGGGCCACTACCCAGCTCACTTAGACTGTTAAGGTTTCTCCCACAGATGCAGCCATATAACACTCCACGGGGCTTCATATGTCGGAATCTACCTGCAGATATGTAGGGCAACAAATAAGAATTAAAAAATATAGCGTCCATATATTCTAAAAAGTCTCTAATTTTTAAAAAAATGGCTTGAACATGTACAGTAGCCTCATAGCACCATTATCCCAAACTTGCAAATGGGAAAGGATGAACAGTTTCTCTAGATACCGTACACCTTTCTCCTTCTCCACTTACGGAGAGCAGCACCAAGCCTGTAAAAATATAGGGGTTAAGTTTCTGTTTCATTTCAGAGTGTTTTCTAAGAAACATTACCATAATGGAATTGAAAAGAAGAGCTGTTAATGGAAAATCTACTCTTCTAGCTCTCGATCTACTCTTCTAACTCTCACTCTGGCCATGATCAGGTGTTACTGAAGTCACTGGAAGTTTTATCAGTAACCTCAGCGTCAGCAGGATTCAAGCCCCATTTTCCCTAGAAAATATGACACAACATACCTAACTTCAAGTATGAATAGTCCCACTGAGGTAACATGACTACACAGGTACCTGTTAAGTAAGTGTATGTCTGCAGGACTGAGGTCTAGTGTAAGATACCACTATTTTAATGCCAGTGCATTGGCTATTTTTATATAATACACACACACACATACCTGTACACACCCACACACACAAATAAATAAATAAATAAATAATGAGAGAGAGATAGTAATGTTTCTAATAACACATGGCCAAGTCCATACTGATGTAAATATAAAGTCCCAGATAAAAGTTTTATTTGGACAAGTGGCATTTCCAGTAAACAGCACAATGCTAAAAGGCAGGGATCAGCAACCCCTGGCCTGCAGATCAGATCTGGCCTCTTGATATGGTACTTTCGAGGCATTTGGCAGTGTGGGGCTTCAGCATCAGTCACTTTCCCCTACCTCTCAGGGAAAGGCAATAGCTGTGGCTAGGTCCTAGCACACATCCGCCTCTGACCCAAACTAAGTCAATCTGGCCCATAGCTTTAAAAAGTTGCTGAGTGCTGCTAAAGGAAATTCAAGAGTATTCATTGCTTTACCATATTAAGAATCTGTCCCCATACTATTGTAATGGGCACTGAAATGCCTAAGATGCTGTTGCAGGTATGTGACACAGCCACGTCAGGTCACAGTTGCCTCTTTGCTGCTACTGCGCATACAGTTCCACTCTGTGCATATAGTTCAAGGTCACGGAAATAAGATGATTGGCTAGAAAATGTACATGCAGATATGAACTCTTATTACAGCACATGCTTAAATTGGATATGTGAATATAACATGGCTTCATTCTCATGTATATATAATAGTCTGGCAATTTAAAGATGTCTTAAAGTAGAATAAAATTAAATTAGCATTCATTTTAAGGTCCCTTGACATAATTCAGGCTGTTTAAATGAGAATTATACTCATCATTTCTTAAGCAGGACTAATAAAAATAAATTAGTCCAAGATTCTTCATTTCAACTCTATGAATATGTCAAGAGTGCATATGCTCAGGTTGTTCACTGTCATTAGACTACAAGAAGACCTGCATTCTCAAAATCAAATGATTTTTTACTTATATATAAACAAAAGGATAAAAATACATGTACTGAAGCAAGGCTAGGAAGAGAGATCACTGGAGAAATGAAAAGATTACAAAAAAAGTGTCAGGAGAAAGGAATAAGGAGAGACAATCAGAGAAAAGGAACTATTTTTGAACACTAATCATTTAATATGGAGTATGTGCAAAACTATTAATAGAAGTGCAAAAAGCAAAGGAGAATGTTATTAAAACATTGTAAGACTTATAGGTTCTGCTGTAATGGAACTCGTACATATACATATATACACACACACACACACATATATTTTATATATATACACACACATATACATATATATTTTATACACACACACACACACACACACACACACACACACATGGATAAGCATCTAATATAGATACACACATACATATCCCAAAAGAGGGGGTGGTAAGAATGGAATTCCTCCAATTCTAGTTGCTGCTAAACTGTCTCTTATACTTATTTATTTTTTCCCTAGATCTTAAAAATACTTCTAAAGAGTTAGAAATTCCTCTTCCCTGTTCCTAAAGAGCATACACCAAATGTCTGGTATTTCTAAAAGATACTGAGTGCTACAAAGCCCCAGTATAACATGCAAGCTGCTTTATGTAATTCCAACTGCAAATCACATGTTAACTTAGTACAATTCAATCTGGTCAAAAGATTTTGCCAAGCCTACTGTGGACTGGAAAGACAAGAACACAGTTTTGCTCATGTGCTTGAAGAGGAAGAATGAAGGGAACATCCATTTTGATCGATTACGCAAACACTGGTGCATGCAGCCATGCACATCTAATACTGTGAGAGCACCTGCATTTAGACAACCTCACCAGTGCAATGTGGCAAGGGAAGAAACTAAAACTCAGATCTATTTTTTTCTCTTTGTCAATTCATCTGCACTATAAATCTTGTGTTAATTCCCTCTTTTGGTTCAATTATTAACAAAAGTCAGAGTTAGAGCCAAAGAAGTGCCAACCCGCCCCTCTGTCCAGGAGATGAACCTACACTTTCTACCTACACCGTTGTTCTTGCACTGACCTTTTGTTGTTTTCAAGAACTGTGTTCCTTCCCCACCTTCCCCCAAGCAGAGCAACAGTTGTTCCCATCAAATGAAACCTTCATTTCCAGCATGCACCTGCCTCCTTGTCGGTTCCCTTTGCCAGGCTCCGGCAGCCTCAAATATCAGCTCTGGCCTGCGAGCAGTGACAACACGGGAAAGCAGGACACAAGGGCAGCACTCCCAAGAAGCGAGATCCCTGCTGATGTATAATTCAGAGGGCTGCAGCCTTTCTGTTGCAACTGAGAAGCAGGGCAAGGACCCCACAGGCAGCTCTTGATGTCTTTCAATCTGATGTGTTAGGAGTGAAATAAACATCGGCTCCCTCCCACAGTGTTAGCGGAGATGAGCCTCCCTGGTGAGAACGGGTATTTCATGACAGCTGCCCAATATATCACACACACATGTACAAGGGCATGTAGACATGTGCATATGTATGGATGCATGTATATACGTGTGCATGTACCCGTGTGTGTATATACACCCCCCCAGACACGTGTACACAGGCATGTAGATATGCATGTAAGTATGGATGCATATATACGTGTGCATTTGAGAGTAAAAAATGTATGCATGTACCCATGTGTATACACATGTGTACATGGGCATGTAGATATGAATATATGTATATGCTTATGTATGGATGTGTGTATATGCTTGTGCATGAGTGGGTAAAGCTGTATGCATGCAACCACGTGTGTATACACACACGTGTACATGAGTATGTAGATATGTATGTATGTATGGATGCATGCATATGCGAGTGCGTGTGTGGGTAAAGATGTATGTGTATACACACATGTGTATGCAGGCATGTAGATATGTGTGTATATATGGATATGCATGTGCACGTGTGGGTCGATTATTGCACGTACTGATGTGTGTGTATACATACGTATGTAAGCAGGCACGTATTCATGCACACGCGTATGTGCGTACGTGTAGGTAATGACATACAGATAAACCCATACATGTACACACACATTTACACTGGCACATGCATATGTATGTCTTCACGTCCACACGCACGTCCACTTGAACAGGCGCAGGCCTGGGCTCAAGGTGTTTGTACGTACTCCTGCCCCCCCGCCTGCATACACACTCACGTATCACAGCTGTGCACCCTCCCCTAGGCGTGCACATACACCCCTAGGCCCACACCCAGCGCAGGGCGCGTCCCCACGCGGCCAGATACAGAAAAATGTCGGTACGCACGTGGGTGTACATGGGGGTCAGGATGCGCACGCCAACCTACGCGTACACATGCATCTACATACATGCATCTCCAGGGTGAAGTGAACGCGGCACCCACGCGTGTGCACCCCCCCACACGAGGTCGTGTCCCCGCGGGGGGGAGGGGCACTGTGATGTCACAGCGGGAGCAGGAAGCTCCCTCCCCCCGGTCGCGCGTGGGATCCCCCACTCACCCAGAGCACGAGGCTGTGGCAGAGCGGCCGCGCGTCCGGACCCGGCTCCATGGCAGCTCTTCGGCCGCAACGACGCGCGGCGACGTGACAAGCCGCCACCCCCGCCCCCGCCGCTTGACGGACGTGCCGGCCGGCCAATCAGCGGCCGGCACGGGGAGGAGGGGCCGTGCGCGCGCCTACCAGGTGTGTACCCCTCCGGCGCCCCCTGCAGGGCGCGGGCGGCAGCGCTGGCGCCGGGTGGCCTGCGGGGCGTTCCGGGGACAGAGCCACGTGCCCCGGAGCGGGCCGGGCTGGTCACGTGTTGCGCCTGTCCCACCTGTGCGGCGGGGGGGGGGGGG